AAGCGCGAGAAAGATCACTTAAGACACTTGGAAATGGTGTTTGAGCGCCCTAGAAAACATAAATTAAAAATGAATCCTATGAAGTGTGCTTTTGGAGTATCTTTGGGAAAATTCCTAGGTTTTATAGTCACCAAGCGTGGCATTGAAATTGACCCTACTAAAATAAAGACAATTGTCGACATGCCTCGACCAACAAACTTGTATGAATTAAAGAGCCTCCAAGGCCATTTAACATACATTAGGAGGTTAATCTCAAATCTGTCCGGGAGGTGCAAGACTTTTTTCCTGGCTCATGAAGAAAGGAGTCCTGTTTCAATGGGATCAAGCATGTCAAAATGCATTTGAGGACATAAAGAAATATTTAACAAATCCTCCTATGTTAGGCGCGCCAATTAAAGGACGACCATTAATCCTCTATATGGCAGCCATGCCGACTTCATTAGGCACTCTTTTTGCACAAACCAATGATGCAGGGAAAGAAGTCTCCCAATATTAGTTAAGCCTCACCCTACAGGGGGCAACGTGCAATTACCCGAACATAGAAAAAATATGCCTAGCACTTGTATTTGCAACTCAAAAGCTTCGCCATTACATGCTAGAACATACAGTACATCTCATCTCGAGAGCTGATACAATCTGACATAGTTTAAATAAAATGATATTATTAGGTAGATTGGCTAAGTGGGCGATGTTCCTTTCACAATTTGATATTGTGTTCGTACCTCAAAAAGCCATTAAAGGTCCGGCTTTGGCTAATTTTCTAGCCGCACATCCTATACCTGATGACATTTCCATTGATGATGATCTGCCAGATGAGGTAGTCTTCACCACTACGGTGTCCAATCCTACATGGCAAATGTATTTTGATGGTGCTTGCCAGAAATCACGAGCAGGTGTAGGAGTCGTGTTTGTCACACCTGATGAAGGAATACTCCCATATTCCTTCACATTAACTTCGGCGGTTTCAAATAATGCTGCTGAATATGAGGCTCTAATTATTGGGCTTGAAATGGCTCACAATATGGGCCTAAAAACACTCTCTGTATATGGAGACTCCTAATTAATAATTAATCAATTGTTGGGAACATATATGGTAAAAAAGCAAGGTCTTTTGCCATATTTTTGGAAGACAAAAGAACTAATGGCTATGTTTGCTGATCTGAAAATTTAGCATGTTGTGAGAAGCCAAAATGAGAAAGCAGATGCATTAGCAAGCTTAGCTGCCAGCATGTCACTAAATCCATATCAAATTGTGGATGTTCATATAAAGGAACGAAGAGTCCCCCCATACTTACTGAGGAAGAGGACATAACATCTACTTTAGCCATGACTATAGATATGTACGAAATAGAAATGGGTGATTGGAGAACACCTTTTCTAGATTATCTCCTTCATGGATATCTGCCCCTGGATTCTAGTGAAAGGTCTAGGATTCAAAAGAGGTCAATAAATTATACGTATATAACTGATACGCTCTATCGGTGTTCCTACGATGGTATTCTACTTTGTTGCCTTGCCGACAACGAGGTAATCGAAGCCATAAATGAAGTGCATTCAGGAGTGTGTGGCGCACACCAATCTGGACCCAAGTTACACTACCAAGACATTTAGGTTATTATTGGCCTACAATGTTTGACGATTCTATGAAATTCGCAAAAAGATGCCATGAATGTCAAATACATGGTAATTTCATACATCAGCCCCATGAACCATTACATCCGACCAATATGTCTTGACCCTTTAAAATGTGAGGAATGGATGTAGTCGGGCCAATAAATCCCCCGTCTTCTAAGGGACACAAATTCATTCTTGCCGCAACTGATTACTTCTCTAACTGGGCAGAAGCCGTAGCACTCAAAGAAGTCAAAGCTGAAAATGTTGAAAACTTTATAAGAACGAATCTTATATATCGATTTGGGGTAACAGCCCGAATAATATCTGATATTGGCACGTCTTTTAAAAATAGACAGATAGAGAAGATGTGTGCCAAATTCAAAATTAAGCACCACTTCTCCATGGGTTATAATCCGGCTGCTAATGGTCAAGCAGAAGCATTCAATAAAGTGCTATGTAAGTTGCTCAAAAAGATGGTCTCATAGAACAAGAGACACTGGCATGAAAAGTTACTCGAATCCTTGTGGGCATATAGGACCACGACACGGACACCAGCGAAAATGACTCCTTACTCACATGTATATGGAGGAGAGGTGGTCCTGCAACTGGAGGTGCAAATTGCCTCCTTAAGAGTTGCTATCAAGAACTCAACGAAGATGAATCGGCAAAATTATGCTTAAAAGAACTAGATAACCTCGAAGAAAAATGGCTTCGTGCATTGCAAAACTTGGAGGCCTAACAAGCTACGATGTCTTGGGCTTTTGACAAGCGCATAAAAAGGAGGCCATTTGGTTCTCGCGGTCATTGGGCCTATAAATATTACTCACCGAATGCAAAGCAAATTCGAGCCTAAATGGGAAGACCCATACATTGCGAAGGACGTCTACTCTAGTGGCGCTTATAGAATCATATCTCCGGATGGCGAATATTGCCTAACACCGATAAATGGAAATTTTCTAAAGCGTTATTATGCATAGTGAAATATGCATATCATGCTCCATTGCTTCATGAGCTTAAACTGTAGCATCAAAAAAAGAAAAAAAATCACAATGCTCCATCGCTTCATGAGCTTAAGTATAGCGTTAAGAAAAAAAATGCTCCATCGCTTTATGAGCTTAAACTGTAGCATCAAGAAAAAACTGTAGCGTCAGGAAAAAATGCTCCATCGCTTCATGAGCTTAAACCGTAGCATCAAGAAAAAGAAATCACAATGATCCATTGCTTCACAAGTTTAAACTGAAGCTAATGTGCTCCTTCATGAGCCTAAACTGAAACAATAAAAAAACATACCTCCATCATGAGCCTAAACTGTATAAAAAAATGTGTGCTCCTTCATGAGCGTAAACCGAAACAAAAAAATAGCTCCTTCATGAGCCTAAACTGTATAAAAAAACGCTCCTTCATGAGTCTAAACTGAAAAAAAACAGCTCCTTCATGAGCCTAGACTGAAACAAAAAATGTAGCTCCTGCATGGGTCTAAACTGTAAGAAGAAATATATGCTTTACAGCGTGATGAACACTTAAACTGAAGATAGACAAAGAATATGAAAATGTGCTCCTTCATGAGTGTCAAATGAAAGGTCATCATGCTCCATAGCTTCATGAACCTAAACTGAAGTTAAAGCTAAATAAAAATATGAAGATGCTCCGTAACTGCGAGAGCCTAAACTGAAGCTAGATAAAGAAATATAAAGATTCCACGGCTGCATGAGTTTAAACTGTAGCGCCAAAAGAAAATATGCCCCTTCGTGAGCCTAAACCGTGAAAAAAAGAAGGTCCTTCATGGGCCTAATCAGTGGCGGATCTGCCGGGGCTGCCGGGGCTCAAGCCCCCCCTACCTTGGCTGCGCCATTGGAGCCCCCCTGAGCCCCTCCATAAAATTTTCAGCCATTAGCCACTAGGAAGGAGGGGCTAGAGAGGTTCCCGTCGCGGACGGAGGTTGAAGACGAGTTGGTCTGCTTCCTAGGCCAGAATGTGTGGCCCACTAACGAAGCCTATACACGGCCCATCAAGAAACAGACATTTTTTCTTCATTTCTCTTCTCATTCTGTCAGTCACGGGAGCAGAGGCACTCGACTCGAGCTGACTGGGCCGGCGAGTGGGCGACTGGGCGAGCGGCGGCGGCTCCAGCTAGGGTTGGCTGGCTCCTGCCCAACGGCCGACGGAGGCGCCGCAGCGCCGGGATCCCAGCGGGCGGAGGCAGCAGGCAGCAGCGGCCGCGCATCGCAGGCGCAGGCCAGCAGCCAGCAGGGGCGCAGCGCGCAGGGCTGGCCAGCAGCCAGCAGCCAGCAGCCAGCAGGGGCGCGGCGCGCGGCGGTGACTCCGTGTGCAATTGCCTGCTGGATTCTCTGAAATTTGGGGTTCCTGGCTTCCTGCAAAGGCTGCAATGAATTGAGCTTACCCTGTCAGGTGTCAGGTAGCCCTTTTGCTTTCGGTGATGCGTCATGCGTGCAATTTAATTTCGCTTTTTAGCATTCCTTTTTATTCTAGCTAGGACTGCTTTTATTCCTCCATTTTGCCTTCGCTGAAATTTGGGGCACTGGGCGGCAGCAGGCACTGGGCGACGCGGCAGCAGGCACTGGGCGGCAGCACCGCAGCACCAACAGGGCAGCAGCCAGCAGGTATAATCTTTTTCTTTAGATTTGCCTTTTGAACTTTGTAATCGTTCAAAATTTGATTAGGATTTAATAAATTGCAGATTATTCAAAATGTCCAAAAGAACATTGCACACATATTTTTCTGGTACAAGTAGTACATCAACTCCAGGCAGTAATAACAGCATAAATCAACCAATTCGGCGTAGAGTGGAGTTTAGTTAATCCGATGTAGTTGGTGATCCAGGAAATCGCATACCAATTGAAGAATATCCACCAGAAATTAGAGACCAAGTTAGAAGGGCATATGCTTTGAGATGTCCGACTCAACCTCGTAATCTTACCTTTGCTCGTAAATGGCAAAATGGTCAATGGAGATCATTTCAGCAAACTTGGTTTGATGAGTTTGATTGGCTAGAGTATAGTGAGTCGAATGATGCAGCTTATTGCTTATATTGTTATCTTTTCTTTGATCCGGGGAAGCCTGAAAAATTTGGTAGTTCTGTCTTTGCAAAGGATGGTTATACTAACTGGAAAAAAGCTAAGGACAATTTTAATCAGCACGGTACTTGCAAGACTCACAATAATGCTAGGCTAAAGTGTGATGACTTTATGAACCAAAGAACAAATGTGGCTAGAAGAATTGATGTAATTAGCAAGGAGGAAGAGAAAAGATATGAGATTTGCTTGAACTCTTCTTTAGATGTAGCAAGATTTCTCATAATGCAAGGTGATGCTTTTCGTGGACACGATGAGTCCTCTACTTCCAACAATAAGGGTACATATAGAGAGATGGTTGATTGGTACAAAGATAAAGTTGAGATTGTTAAGGATGCATACGATAAAGGTGCAAAAAATTGCACAATGATATCTCATCATATACAGAAGGACCTTACAAAAGCTTGTGCACAAGAAGTCATGTCAGTGATTATGGATGAGATTGGAGATAAAAAATTTTCTGTATTGATTGATGAGTCCCGAGATGTATCAATAAAAGAACAGATGGCTGTAATTTTGAGGTTAGTAAATGACAACTCTATTTTTTTACCTCGACTTTTACTTGTACACTTGTACTAACATGAAATAAAATATGGTTTGCAGGTTTGTGAATGATGAAGGGAAGGTGATGGAGAGGCTCCTTGGACTTCAGCATGTTGAGAGTTGTACAGCTGCTTCATTGAAAGAAGCTCTGGTCAAAATGCTTAACAGTCATAAGCTACCAATCTCTAGCCTTCGTGGGCAAGGTTATGATGGAGCTTTCAATATGAGAGGTGAATTTAATGGTGTGCAAAATTGATTCGAGATGAAAATCCTTATGCATTCTATGTGCATTGTTTTGCCCATCAATTGCAATTAGTGGTTGTTACTGTTGCAACTTCTACTCCAGCCATTGCAGATTTCTTTAACTATGTTCCTCTAATAGTCAACACTGTCGGCGCATCATGTATGAGAAAGGATGCCTTGCTTGCAAAGCATCATGATGTGTTGTTAGAAAAGTTGGAGAGTGGGGAGATTATCACTGGAAAAGGTTTGAACCAGGAATGTAGCCTAGCAAGGCCTGAAGATACTAGATGGGGTTCACATCTTAAAACTTTACTTCGTATTTTGGTGATGTGGGAAGCTGTCATAGACGTTCTTGAGATAGTAAAGAAAGACTCTGTTAAACCAGGAAATAATGGTGGAGCATTTGGTTTAATTGGTAAAATGGAGAGGTTTGATTTTGTGTTCATAATGCATTTAATGATAGAATTGTTGAGCATCACAGACAGTCTGTCACATGCTTTGCAAAGGAAGGATCAAGACATTGTTGAGGCAATGCAATTGATCATAGATGTCAAAGAGCAGTTGCAGGATATGAGGGACAATGGATGGGATCCCTTATTCAAAAGAGTGAAAACATTCTGTGATAAGAATGAGATTGAAGTGCCAGATATGGATAAGGAAATAAATGCTAGAGGGACATCTACACGTAGAAAGCAAAAAGTAACAAACATGCACTTCTACCATGTTGAGATTTTCCTTGCTGCCATAGATGCCATTTTGTCTGAGATGAATCATCGATTTGGTGAAGTTAGTTCAAAGTTATTAGTTTGCATGGCTTGTCTTAACCCAAGGAACTCCTTCTCTAATTTTGATGTGGATAAGCTTGTGAGATTTGCTGAAATTTATGCTGTGGATTTTGACGTCGGTGACCTTCTTCTTTTGCCTTATCAACTGCGAGGATTTGTCAGTCGTGCTAGAAGAACTCAAGACTTTCTTGGATGTACAGAGCTTGGAAAGGTTGCTGAAATTATGGTCAAGACTAAAATGAACACATCTTATGGATTGGTGTATCGGCTCATTGAATTAACATTAATTCTTCCGGTGGCAACAACTTCAGTTGAGAGGATATTTTCTGCTATGTCTATTGTAAAGACAGATTTGCGTAACAAAATGGGTGATGAATGGCTCAATGACTTAATGATATGTTACACTGAGAAGAAGATATTTAGAAGCATCAAGAATGACAAAATCATAAAACGATTTGAAGACATGAAAACCCGGCGTATGTTAGTGCCTCGGAACAATTTAGTGGTATGATATATGTTCTCTTCTACCTTCAAAACTTTGAAGTTAAATACTTGAAATTTGTGTCACTAATTTATTTTTTTCTTGTATAGATTGCTTCTAATGATTCATGAAGAATACAACAGCGTGAATGCGTCATCATCTATCGATCTTTTGTTGGTTAGTTCTAAAAATTGTATCTTTTACTTCTTCTTATATGTTTTATAATGCACTTTCGATTGTTTATCATAGTTATCATGTAAAAGGTTTAAAACTGCTATATCTTAGCTTTGTATGGAATATAATTGAGTGAAGTTGGTCTAGCTCTTTTTGGCCCAGCCCCTCCTAAATATTTTTTCTAGATCCGCCACTGGGCCTAATTGTAAAGGAAAAAAATGAGCTCCACTGCTATATGAGCCTAAACTGTTGGCAATAAAATAAACAATTGCTCCATTGCATCAAGAGCTTAGACTGAATGCTTAAAAAAATATGCTCCAAAGTTCTTAAATTTGAACTGTGACCATGGAAGGAACATTTGAAATGTCCTGTCCTCCATGAGAGCCTAATATAAAGATCAAGCAACATAGTTTGGCTTCATCCAAAATGTGTCAAAATCTCAAGTTTCGAGCTCCAGATTGTCAATATACATTTCTCCGCATCCGGACCTCGAGGGGGCATGTTGACACCAATTTTGGCTCTCTAGGAAATGCAAAGATATTCATCTGTATTGAAGGAAGTAGCAAGATGGTTAATAAATTCCCTATAAATAAAAGAATGTGAAATAATATTTCAAAAAAATGAAATGGGATCAACTTATATTGGCTAAGAAATATAGTACACTGAAATACAAAGTGAAGACGTACATGCCAATATAGTGCATTTGTGCACATACCAATGATGTATAAATTCGGATAGTGAAATATCAAAGATAATATTGTGGGTTGATTAATTAAATGGCTAATTAATATGAATTGTCAACCTACGTGTTGGTCATGTGTTCAAAAAAATGAAAGGAATATCGTTAAGAAAAGAGAAGCAAGTGCATACGCACATTTGCTTCTTAATTAGTTGATGAAACAAAATGGAATAAAGTACTTTATAGCTACGTGTCGTAACATGTGCACACGTGTATAAGATTGCTGATGCCAGTAACAAAGCCATACGCCTGTTCCAGCCATAAATGAACATGCGTCGATATGATAAGTGTCAGATTATATTCCAGCCAGAGAAGCCAAAAAAACGATTATCGTTCTCTCTAATTACGGAAATTAAAAAAGAGAGTGGATGGCCCGCATGTTATACAACCGTGCTAAGTTAGGGTTGCATCAAAACTGTCACATCTGCCGCACCATGCAAATAGAAGCAAAGGCTAGCGTAAAGATTGCATGCATCTTGCATCTTAATTACGTTGCATTCACCCCAAAACAGGTGGATTTAAATAAATAAGAAACTGAAGAAAAATAGTTTCTTCGTGCCAAATACCATGTCATGACCGCTAGTGCTAATTAGCCTGCTGCGGCGCCTTGGTAAAATAAAATAACCAAACGTTACAAACACATGAACTTAGCCCAAACTAAATAGGTTTTGTCATGTTCATCATAATTTCCACACATGTCATCTATGCCCGGCATAGGCTCTCCAGACCAGGTGCCGAGCATCATGAGTAAATTAAATGTTGCATCTTAGCTGATTGCACCTATAAAGGTCATGCTTAGCTAAGTCATTAAAATATATCAAATTAATAGCATCATGCCATACCATGAGTATGCATGCTAACCTTGATAAAATAAATTAATTGCACGCACCTCGGCTGAGTCGATGATGCAAACATTTCTTTCTAGGCCATGGCAAAATAAATACTTTGGCTTAGCTCAAATGAAAGATTGCACTATATGCTGAATACATCCATGAATGGGCATCTCAAACATGCTAAATCATGATGTTAAATGATCCAAAAAGACTGTCAAATTTAGTCTCCAAAGTAAATTACGTGCATACATACATGATACTATGCACCAAAGAAATGTCCGACATACAAACAAATCAATTCCACCTGGTCATATATGCGTATGTGGCATGATCAAGATGCCCATGCTGAGTTAGCTAAATTTAGCGCCATATCATGATCTGAACAAATAATAAGATATTCACAAATGCTTTGCATAGATTAAATACATGCATATCATGGGTCACTAGAAAGCTAAGCAAGCTAGCGACCAATCTATTAAGGAGTATATGTTAGTTCCTCAACAAATGAAAATGGCATGCTTAAAAGAAATGACAATCGTCAAGTTCAAGTCTATGCCAAGCATACAAATTCGTCCATCTGTAGCTACAAGATTGAAGACTTTGTTTTCTTTTGTAGTTTGTAATAGGAAGCCATATGATGTAATCTTATTTTTCATGTACTCATGTTGGAACTCTTAATTAGGGGTATTCTCTATGGAGATGTAATTAACATAATTTTTATGCAAATATAAGAATTATGGAAGTACGGACTCGCAATACTTGTTCTTTTTCTTTTGTCCTATGTAAATTAAAACAAACCAAATTTGTCTCTGCTGATGTGGAGGCGGGTCATAGCTGCCCGTTTCCCCGCCATCACCAGGATCCTCCCAACACACTCCCAAACACTCCTAGCCCTTGGATGAAGAGTGTGTTTTCTCTCAATGGTGGAGGATGAAGTCCCACAGATTGAATGGCCCACACCTCTATCATCGAACGTGATCAAGTGGTCCCACCACCTCATACCCACACTAGAGGAGGTATAGAGGGCCCACAAGAAAGGGTGATGGCCCCACCCTCCATAGGGAGGTAGCCCAACCTCCCTATGGTGGCTACCCGGGCTCATCTTTCTTCCACCGCCTCCATGCATGGAGGCATGCATGAGACTGAATCCACACCATTGATTGAAGTTAGTTCAAGGTCGGTTTGGATCCAAGGATGGAGAAGGAAGGTCACCTGGATCGATGACGTGATGCTAGAGTAGCCCCTACGCCACCTCCACCTATAAATACCCCCCTAGACCCTCACTCTCAACACACCACAAGGAGCAAGCCTCTCCACTCTCTCAAGATGTAGTAGTGCTAGTTTAGTTGCGAGTTAGAGTGAGTAGTGAGCTTAGGCTCTAGGTTCCTGATCTAGTCTTCTAGGAGGTTTGGTATAATCTTGTATCTCTCTCTCTTTATAAAACTTACTCTTTATTTATATTCTTACTTTACTTTACTTAGTTTATGCTTTGTGCAACATTATACTTGTTATATTGTTGTTATGGTTTATCTTAGCATATAGTTGTTGCATATGAGATTGTGATCGAAGCCCACACGTGTATTACAATCATGCTTGTTATAGGGTGCTCTGGTTGAGCTGAGTATACACAACTATAGTAGTGAGAGAGGGTGTAAGCATGGTGCTTATACATTATCTTGCCTTGATTGCCACTTGTCGCACGGATTGTTTGTGGTAGCTAGCAGGTGGTGATAGCCCTATCTAGTCTTTGTATTCCACCATGTGTTTATAGGCAAGCTTTTAAATTGGTAAGGCTCTAGTAAAAGAGTAGCTGCTTTAGATAGGGTTTTGTCTCCTATTGTCTCACCTAGTGCCTAGTATGCATGTTGTGTTGACCCAATCTCTGTGTTGCAATTGTATGATTAAGATAGAATCATAGAAGTAGAGTTTGAACCTTTGGAAACCTTATACTCACTCATTGTCCTCCCTACAAGCTAGATCAGTTATCTTTATGTTTGGACTTCTTCTCATGTGTGTGTCATTGCCCATATCATATACATCCTTTACCCCCACTCTAGTCTAGTTGGTATATTAGTTTGTAGAGACATGATGGTTAGCTATCACATTCTTAACCATTGCTTCCCTAAGGATAAATACGATACCCTGGAATACTCCTGGGTCAAATGCTACAGCGGTATTTCTGTGCTCTTGCAAAATATTCTACATGAGCATAATAAATACCAACAGCTATAGAACACCGGTCTGGGCACCCTCAACCCACCTTGGGAGGAAATTTCACCAACTCACCGATGTCCTAGAAGAACTGTCAGCCTACCTAGACAAGAGTCGCACGGACAACATGGAGTACATCCTCGCCTGCTACCGGAGCCGGATAGATGGTTTCGACACTAGCGTCACGACACAGGGAATCAGCACTGTCGGTAACACCGGGAAGCACTAGCACAACCTAGTTCATGCCGATGCTGAGCAGGTAGCCAACCGCATCGCCGCTGACAAGGATGATGATGTTGATACTAACGATGAGGTTGAGGACGAGGACAAGGCCGGTGATTCCGATGATGAGGAGTAGAGGTGATTTGTTATTTGTTATTTGTTCAATGACTTGTGTTAATGGTGAATCATGAGACAGAGTGAGATTGCTTAATTGTCGTGCTACTTTGTGGCACTATGTGTTCAAATGCTCAGTAATGTATTGTCGTACTACTTTGTGGCACTAGTTTCCTCCTTAACTTTGCATAGTTTATATACACGAGTGTATAATACAGTACATGTACGCTTTTAGGTCAAACAGCACTAGTTCCAATAATAAATAATGGTGATTTGATTTGAATGTTCATCGTATCATATGTTGTACACATGCGAGGGTATTTGAATCTTCCCCATGGAGTCCGATTTCCCATGTACACATGCACATCGTTTGGTCCACCAGGTATTGCGCATCATTAAGTCATGTTTAAGTTGAGGATGAAATGTGGTAGGGAATCAAATGTGCCAAGGAATCTGAATAGCATTGTGTTCTGCGTTGAGTCGCCCATGACTTGTGTGGGTAGCCACGAAAGTCACCCACCTTGACTGTTGCCTTCTGCGCACACGTCTTGAGGTGGGGGTGGGGCTATTTAAGAAAAGGTTAGGGGAGCCTCTCTAGTAAACTCCAATCCTTGTGCCTCACAGAAAAACTAGAGAAAACCTTGAGTTGCACATAGTCTCATGTCGCCATGGCCTCCCTCGTTTGGTATTGACTCTAGCGCCGTTGGGAAGATCAGCTTCTGCCACCACCTTCACGT